ACTCTATTATCTGTAACAATCATTGCTTCATTTGTTGTAGAAGTTAGAAGGTGTATAGTCAGTGTGGTAGGGTATGGCAAGAAGAGGAAGCACAGTTTCATGGTTAATATTATTAAATGCCCCTATGGAGAATTGGATTCTATGCCTGCTTCTGCCACAGAGTTTGAAATAAAATTGAAGAAGTCGTTGGAGAAGCAAATTTTTCATAAGTAACCACAAAAGTTTCACATTGTTAGTTTTCCAGGTGCCAAATTGACACTAGTGTTCCATTTTCAAAAGAGCTGAGAACTCACAACTGCAGTTGAATTAGTTGAGAGCCTTTACGACTGAGCACCAGTGGCAGCAAGGCAGTGCACTCTGGAAGCCAGAGTATGGGGTGGGAAGTCAGAAAAGCTCTGATTCTGAATTCTGGCTTTTCCACTGACTGCATGGCACTAAGCCCTTTTTTCAGTTTCTTCATCTGTAAAATTGGTGTATTGGTGAGGCTTCATTTGTATTGGTGAGGCTCTACTCACCAAGGTGCCCCTGGGGGTCACAAGAAATAATGGCCATAAGCTAGCAGAGAGCAGATTTAGACTGGAAATTAGGAAGAACTTCTTCACAATCAGAGTGGCCAAAATCTGGAATGGGCTCCCAAGGGAGGTGGTGCTCTCCCCTACCCTGGGGGTCTTCAAGAGGCGGTTAGATAGGCATCTGGCTGGGGGCATCCGAACCAGCCCTCTTTCCTGCCTATGCAGGGGGTCGGACTTAATGATCTATTGAGGTCCCTTCTGACCCTAACATCTATGAATCTATGAAAATGGAATATAATACTCATCTCTATGGGGCTAATTGGGGAGGGCTAATTAGTTAATATTTTTACAGCCCTTTGAGCAAATAGAACACTATATATTTGCTAACTACACTGAAAAATAGGAGGTAATGTTGGATAACTGATCACTGGGTATCCAAAGCTAGTTGAAACTTCTTCTGTTTCTAGCTTTGGTCACTTACGGGTTTTGATTCCTCTTTCAAAAAAAAGTTCCCTACAATGTAAAGATGTAACGACAATAAACTAATGCTTGTTAGACCCAAATGCTACAGTAATGGTAACCATAGAAAAGTCAATGAGGAAATCACTGATTTTGTACTCATTGCTAAGCTTGGTTAGGTTATAGTCAATAAAATAGGATGGCTACAAATCAAATGATAAATATGAAGATAGAAATGAAAAAGCTGATTTGTTCACTGAACACAATTCAAATGAGCCGACTAGAAAGACCCAGAACATGGATTGGGAAAATCATCATACCCAGGTAAATTTTAATTAATGTTATATGAGGGAGAAAAAAATATAACTTTTGGTTTTATATAAGCTTTTATATACCGAGGACAAGAACAAACATAGCTTTTTTCCGGGACAAATTATGCCTGTGATTGTCTCAGAACAGAAACTTCCCAGGATTGGCATGTACACACACTGCCATTCTAATAAGGGTGTAGTGAACATCTGAATGCACTGCTAGTTTTCTGCCATCAAATCAATGATGCAGTGCCAGGATAATCATTCAGGCACACTTTGTGATATCCCAGGATAAACTGTTAGTACTTATCCCATCATCCTTTTCCAGACTTATCCTGGGGCAATGGATATGGACATCTAAATGATTGTGCCTTGTCCAAGGATATTTTATCCCAGACAAATGTGACTTCTATTTGTAGCCTGAATTTTTTTGTGTCAAATAAAGAAATCTTATTGACGTAGGCAGAAAATATCATACAATAATGCACTTATGAATGGATGAACAGAGGAATAATTTTGTCTAATTTTCCATCTGATATTTTTTAGGTACAAGCCTATGCAGAAAGTGGATGGGGTTGCAGATGGTTTCACAGGAAGTGGTCAACAGACAGGCACATCTGTTGAGCAAACTGTAATTGCCCAAAGTCAACATCATCAACAATTTTTAGGTATGTAAGTGTACACTACATAGCTTTTTAAATAAACTGCTATAATCAACATGAACACCAGACTACTGGTGCAATATTTCTCTACAATGGTTCTCCGTCAAAGCTGTCATTTATAACAGGGCTTATAAATGCTACATATAACTTTATTTAAATACCTCACATAAGAAAACCATGCAAAATCTATCTTTGCTCTAAGCTTTTATATTTTGTATATTGGAATAAAATTTAGCATATACACTGTGTGCCAGCTTTACAAAGGTAGAGACCTAAATGGAGTGCCCCAGGGGTCAATCCTGGGGCTGGTTTTGTTCAATATCTTTATCAGTGACCTGAAAGATGGGATGGAGTTCACTCTAAGCAAGTTTGCAGATGACACTGAGCTGGGGCAGAGTAGTAAATACACTGGAGAGTAGGACTAGGATTCAGAGAGACATCAACAAATTGGAGAATTGGACCAAAAGAAATCTCAGTGAGGAGGTTCAATAAGGACAAGTGCAAAGTCCTACACTTACGGCAGAACAATCCTATGCACTGGTACAGGTTGGGGCCTGACTGGCTAAGTAGCAACTCTGCAGAAAAGGCCCTGGGGGTTATAGTGGACAATAAGATGAACATGAGTCAACAGTGTGCCCTTGTTGACAAGAAGGCTAACAACATACTGGACTGCATTGGTAGGAGCATTGCCAGCAACTCAAGGGAAGTGATTCTTCCCCTCTATTTGGCACTGGCGAGGCCACATCTGGAGTAGTGTGTTCAGTTTTGGGACCCCCACTACAGAAAGAATGTGGACAAATTGGAGAGGGTCCAGTGGAGGGCAGTGAAAATGGTTAGGGTGCTGGAGCATATTACTTATGAGGAGAGGCTGAAGAAACTTGGTTTATTTAATCTGGAGAAGTGAAGACTGACAGGAGATTTAATAGCAGCCTTCAGCTACCTCTGGGGTGGTTCCAAAGAGGATGGAGCTAGGCTGTTCTCAGTGTTGGCAGATGACAGAACAAGGAGCAGTGGCCTCAAGTTACAGCAAGGGAAGTTTAAGTTAGATACTAAGAAAAACTTTGCACTAAGAGAATAGTAAAGCACTGGAACAGGTTATTCAGAGAAGTTGTGGAATCTCCATCCTTGTAGGTTTTTAAGACCTGGCTAAACAAAGCCATGGCTGGGAAGATCTAGTTGGGGACAGTCCTGCTTTGACCAGCGGGCTGAACTAGATGCCCTCCTGAGGTCCCTTTCAACCCTAATCTTCTATGATTAAGTGGTGACCATAAAATTTTTGATCCCATCAACTGCATTCTCAAGTCCTAACTGTGTATGGAATGGGATTATGTTTCAGTTTTGCAATTATGAAACAGCTATTTGTTCATGAAAAAGTGTCCATGACTGCTGTAATTTTAAATGATATTATCTACATTATAGTACACTGAGGGGGCGAGCATTTTAAAACTGGAAACCCTAGGCTTGCACGCCCATTCCTCTGTATGCATTTACTGTAGCTGACCCTGTAAATCAAACATTTGCACAAATGGTCATTTAATAATTATTTGCATATACATACAGATGATTTTAAAATGATACAACAGTAATTGTAGATTTACTTTAAGTCCTAAAAGGTAGGATTTTCAAAAGCCTTTTCCTAAAAGGTAGGACTTTCCTTTAGTTTATTTCAGGTCATTGGGAACAGTAGCTATAGTGTTTTTGAATCTCCCACATAAAAATTGGTAGTTCATTTTTGTTGTGTATCTCTACTTGGAAATATTTATGCAATGTTCTGAAAGTACACATTAATGCATGGAAGTCTAAGAGTGTAGAACAAACTGGTAGATAAAATGTAAACAGACATCCATGAGTATAATTTATTCTATCATGTATGGAATATTTCTTGTAGACTTAAATACTTGAGTATGCCTTTGCTGTGCAGAAATAGTATGTCTGTGACTTCATTTTAACTGGTTGTATAACATACACAGTAATAGGTTTTTTACTTTTGCTTTTAAAATATCTAGATTGTTTAAAACTATATGTTAATAATTTTTCACATAGCTTATACATACACACAAATATACATACATAAATGTGAAAGACTTTTCTCTTCGCTAACTTTGACCTTTTAGAATTTATTTCTTTATATTGTTCTTAAATGTTTTCCTAATTAAACTGTAATTGACACCATTCATAATAGCTCTCTTTCATTATGTTTTCATGGAAACAGATGCATCTCGAGTACTTCCAGAGTTTGGAGAAGTTGAAATATCTTCTCTGCCAGATGGTACTACTTTTGAGGATATCAAATCACTGCAGAGTCTTTATCGAGAGCACTGTGAGGTAAGAAAGATGTACTTTACATGAACTCTTACTTTTGACTTGAGCTAAAAATTAAGGACTTTCAGTGTAACATGACAGTACAAAATACATTACAGCTAATGGCAATACAGGTGGTGCCAGTATGTTCATTCGTTATAAAAGGAAATTTTACAAGATTTTTCTGTAGTCTCTCATTTCAGAAGGAGAGCCAGTTTTAATGATTTGCTAGAGTATTAAGAATTAAAATTTGTTATAGGCTTTGGACAGGCATAATATTTCTAACATGAAACATGCCCTTTTGCCACAGCAAAAAGTGAGCATACAGCCATTCAAGTGTTTTTTCATAGGAAAAACATAATAGTTTTGTAAAGAATTAACTCTTTACAAGAGCAGCTTCTGGACAGTACAGTGATTTCCAAAAGCATATATAGTATAAAATAAATAGTTTTAAATTGAAAGCAACAAAATTGATTTTTCTTTTAAATATGTCAATAAAAAGTGTTCTAAGATGATAATTTTAACCCACATTTCATCTGGAATGATGAATATGTTTACAACAAGTATTAGATAAAATGGTGTACAGTAAGAAAATATTTGGACCTTTAACACCGCAATAAAAACTGCAAAGTGGCAAATTTGCCTCGTCTTCCTTGATTTCTGTAGCTATTTAAAAAGTTTTGTTTATTTACATTTGTCAAATATGCATGTTTAGGTGAAAGCCTTTCTTTTTTTGCTTTCTTTTCACTTGTCTTTGGTATATCTCTCTGTGTCTCTGGTTTTATAACCAGGTAAATCAATAGCTCAGATCTGAGCAAAAAGGTATTACTGATTCATTAGATTATTAGAAACATGCATTGGACCACTAAATTATGCAAATGTAGACTTGTACCATATATATAGGTTGTATGTTATAGCCCTTGGGGCAGGGGTGGGCAAAACACAGCCCGCGGGCTGGATCCACCCTGCAAGGCGCTTTCATCTGGCCTGTACCACCCCCTCAATGAATTGAATCCCTCTAGCCCTTCCACCCACAAGGGTGGTGGGAGTGAGGCGCTCACGTGTACAACCCCCCCAGCATACCCTGTTGGGCCTCACTCCCACCTTCTTGGGAGGAAGGGCTTGCCCAGCTATCAGCTTCCAGGTGGGGCTCCTGCTGCAGCCGGAACGTGTTTGCTCAGATAGCAGCAGGGAAAGCGGCGGGGCTGGTCAGTGAGTGGAGCTGCAGCTGGACAGAAGCTGAAGCTCAGAGCCTGCACCCAGAGGGGCAGAAGGAATGCAGAGCTCAGCTGGGCAGGGTGTGGGTGAGGGTGGGAGGTGTAGGAACCCCCTTCATACTCCCCCCCATGGCGTGCAGCCCCAGCTGCTGGCAGCAGCAGCAAGCAGGGAGGTCAGGGTGCTAGTGCTTGACGCATGCACTCAGTGGGGCACAGCTCTGGCCAGTGCGGCGCAGGGAGAGGGGGCGCAGCCCGCCTGGCTGCCTCTATCGCTGAGGCCCCCCTCTGCTTCCCTGCTGAGTCCAGCACAGGGCTTCTCCGCTGAGTGTGGAGCTGTAGGCACACGGCACAGAGCCTGGCCACCTCTATCATGGGGGCTCCTCATGACACACCTGCAGCTCCACACTTGCAGCGGGAAAGCCCTGTGCTGGATTCTGCAGGAAAGCAGGGGACAGGGCTCCCTCCACTCCCAGCAGAGTGCAGGGACCTGTGCAGCAGGGGTGACAGAGGCAGCAGGCTCCAGTGCGGGGCTTTCCCAACTACAAGTGCTGGAGCTGTAGGTACACAGCACAGAACCCTGGCAATAGAGGCAGCCAGACAGGCTGTGCTCCCTCCCCTCGTGCAGTGCTGGCCAGAGCCGCACCCCACTAGGCGCCTGCTCTGGGCATATGCGCCCTGACCTCTCCGCCTACTGCTTCTAGGTAGCAGGGGCTGCACACCATGGGGGAGTGTGTGGAGGGTCCCTCACACCCCACACACCCACACCCTGCCTCCACACCCCCCATCAACATATACATACACCCCAATATACCCTATGCCCCTCTACACAGCCACACCCTCTCACAACCCCTGCACACACTCCCACATCCCACCATACACACACACACACACACACACACAATATAAAAGTGACACTTTATTTTTTATTATTATGCAATGCCTTCTGTATATACTACACAATCACAAGTCATGACAAATATTTTTTGTAATAAAATTAAAATATATTATAGTAGGTGTTTGACTTCTAGTGTATGATTTGGTTTTTTTCTGGTTCTAAGATGGCAACCCCCCCCTCCCAAAAAGAGTGTTTGGGTGAGGGTGGGGGACAGCAATGGGAGGGACTGCTGGTGGCAAAGGTCAGGGGTTAGGGGGCAGGACTTCTGGTTCCAGTGTGGTGATCAGGAGGTGGGGCAACTGTCAATGAACGGGCCTACCTATGTGGCCCTGGACAGCTCATCAAAACTTGTTAAGTGGCCCTCCACCTGAAATAATTGCCTACCCCTTACTTGCAGGGAGGGAAGAGAGGAGAGAAATTAGGTAGAAGACTTGCTGTACTCTTTTTGTATTCTTTCAGGCAATATTGGATGTTGTAGTGAATCTTCAATTTAGTCTGATAGAAAAATTGTGGCAAACTTTTTGGCGTTATTCTCCCTCCACTCCAGTTGATGGCACTACTGTTACCGAACCAAGGTCAGTACAGGTCTCTTTTCCATTTACTGTTTGTTATCATCATTTAATAGCAGATGTCAAATCAAATGGAATCAGAGTTATTTATATAAACTGAAAAATCCTACTTGATGTTTGCTAGATTAAATTACTAGGTACCACAAATTGCACTGTTGAAATTATTGTATCTGTGTATTCCCCCCCACTCCCTTTTTGTTTGTTTGCTTGTGTGTTTGGAGGATTAAAATAGAAGCATTTTTTTCATGATATAGCATGCAATATTTTTAGGTAAGGGAAGCATTCTTATCACCTCTCTACATATAATTTATGTGCTGTAACAGAGCTTTAGAAGCCATTTTCCAGTCTTATGAGACGCAAAGAACAGCAGTGTTAGGTATTCAAACATCTATAATGCTTTATTAAATACTATATTTTAAATCTATTCTTCTTTTTTATCAACATGTAAATTAATTTTAATTTATTCATTTGTTCACACCAGCAATCTGAGTGAAATAGAAAGTCGACTTCCGAAAGCAAAGCTGATAACTCTGTGCAAAAATGAGTCTATTCTGAAATGGATGTGTAACTGTGACCATGTGATGTACCAGGCTTTGGTGGAGATTCTCATTCCTGACGTCCTTAGACCTATTCCTAGTAAGTTGAACAGAGATGACGTCTTGTAAGATTTTGTGTGCGTGCATGTGTGTGTGTGTGTGTGTGTGTGCCTGGTTATCTTGTGTTTGTAGTACCTTCTGGGAAATCTATGGGATTGATTCTGAAGACTGCAGAAGTAGTGTGTATGGACACTCTTAAGTTCTGTAGAGTAGAAAGACGTGTACCTAGAATAGGTGTCATCAGTGGATCTAGGATTTTGTAAAGGGGAATGTAGGAGCAGCCTGTGATGCTGTAGGGGTGGCTACACCTCCTGTACCCAGCTTTCCCTCCCCCATCAGGTAGGCATACCCTGCAGTGTGAGCAGCAGTACCTCAATCAGGTAAGGACCTTCCTTCCTTTCCTTCAGTCCCACCTCCCGTCACCTCTGTGCTCAGTGACACATCTCCTCACCTCTGTTTCCCACTCCCATACCCTCCACTGCTGCCATTCCTAGCTGTTGTGGGGATTGGGGGTGGAGGGAAGCTCCACAGCCATTCTTACTCTGCTTCAAATGGGCTGCACAGGGTGCCGGAGTCAGCCAGAGACAGTAGTAGTCATGGATGGGTACCCTTCCCCCATGCCTGCTCCTGAACTGGCAGAAAATATCCTGGGAGCAGGGAGGAGGAGCCTAGCCATCACTGCCATTCTTCATGGCTGGGCCCAGTTCCCTGCAGAGTCCAGTTGGAGAGGGAAGGAATGGCTGTGAAGCCCCCTCACCCCCAGGTCTGCAGGGACGGTGTGAGCAACAGCAGTTGTGGGGGGAATGGGAGGTTACAGAACGTGCCAGAGTTAAGGATGGGAGGAAAAGTCTTACTTCCTCCAGGATCTTAAGAAAAAGTCCCTAACTGCTGCTTCCATGAATGTGGGTTGTGTCTGTGCCATTGTGCCCCTGATTGGCACAGGCATTGCATTTAAAGAAAATAAGACTGGTAATTTCTACATATTTATAAAAAAGAGGATAAAAACATGCTTCCTGAAGGTTGTAGGGTATATTTTGCTGTGAAATATGCCTTGGTCATTATAGATTATATATTTTGCTGTGTCTGAATATGAAAACTGTGTTCCTTTGTTTTCTGGCTCTAGTCTACCTGATAGACTTCAATATGCTCTGGGTCTGAGCTATGATCCATGTGTGTCTGTTGGAGTATTTAAACTAACTTCAGTTGTCATTGCCTTAGGCCTTAGAGTAAATTACAAAAAATGTGGCTATCCTCTCTGACTTCAGTTTTGGACAACTAACAAGTTGTTGTTGATCCTCCAAGTATAGTAAAATCAGTAAGCTATTAATCCTGATGCTAAATTTTACTACTAAACACAATATAATGCTAATTCAAACGTGTTAGCCCTATTTTTTTTTCAGTTTAGCATGCTTCTTGTTCTATGTACCACATGAAAAAATCAAAAGATTTTTAAAAGAAAAATTTAAAGACTGACTAAAGTATTATGCTGCACAGTTGGTAATACTGCTGACTGTACTATGATTTTATAACTAAACAATAATTATCAAATTGTTTAACTCAGGAATACAGTTTCTTTTTTCAAAGTTGATTTTATTGGTACCTGTAACTGCTCAGGCAGTTTACCTTCCAGCTGTTTTTGATTTTTAAAAAAAATCTAATTTACCTTAGTTTCTAGCAAAGTTGACTTTATAAAATGTTTATTGTGTCAGGCATGTCATGCTAATATTGTCTATTAATAATAGTTAATAATATCTTACAGATAAAATCCATATCATTATATTAAATATTGTATTCTCTCCATGGACCAAACAGTAATCATTTCACAGTTAGATTGGCTTAATGTTTTAAGAGATGGTGCCTCAAAAATAGCCTTGCAGCTAGCAAAATCACTTTCTGCTTGTGTCAATAAAAATACATCTATAATGTTTTCAGTTATTACAAACGGTTCAGAAAAAATTACACCCACAGCTTTATAAGAACATGCTACTGACCTTTGCTTGTTACTGAAACAGAATTGGACTTCACTATATACAGAATATTATTTACAGTACGAAAAATGTTGACAATATGACTCAAAGATCAAAAGTTAGCCATTTAAATATATTTCCATCGATGTAGTAGGAAAAAATAATGTTAGATGGTTATTTTTCTTTATCAAGCTATAGAGATGATACAGGTGACCTCTATCTTTTTATAAACTGAATAAACTAATAAACCTTTTAAATTAATTCATTTTGATTTATGCTTGATATAGTCTACTTTTCTAATATAAAATGTAAGAAGATGGAATCTTATTTTTAAGCACATGTAATTCACCTTTAACAAATAGGCAAAAAAAATGTAAGATTTCAGAAATTGAGTTAAGGCTTAAATTTAGAAGAAAAAAACAATTAATTTTGTCTTTCCTTCACACAAGTTTTTTTTTTTTTTTATTTAAACATGATTATGAAAAAGAAGCTGCCATGGAAAATGTTAATGTATATATCTGTACACTGATTCTTGTTTCAAAATTGCTTTTTCCTTGCCTTCCACTTCTTTCTTTTGTGCTTTCTATTAACCCCCAGAGAAGTTTCATAGGCTAGCTGAGTGATTACTAGCCTATGACATGTTCCTGCCTACTCTCTGTTTATTTAATAAAATAAAAGAAATAGCGTTAATGCAAGGTTTTAGAAAAGGGCTCATGTGTGGAGCATTTCTGTCTAAGCTGATAGCTACTTAGGTTTTTGGTCCATTTCATGTACATTCTGATTGCCAAAAATGACAGAATATTTATATTTGAAAAAAAATGTAGCAATGGATGAATGTACTATTAAACAGATTTGGATAATTGTTTTGGGAATTCTTGTTATTTGGACAATTTTCAGATTTCTTATTAAAAATCTCTTCTGATCTAAGGACTGTCCCTTACCAAGAGGCCTCTACATATCATTTCTGGGTATCCAGCTGGCTTTCTACTAGGGCTGTGCGAAGCTTCAGTCATCAATCTGATTCGGAAGAGATTTGGCCCAATTTGGCAACCGAATCTCCGAATCTGAATTGAATCGGGAGACCCATTAAAAGGTCCAAATTGAATCCGAAGCCTCCAAATTGATTCGAAAAATATTCAAAGAGATTTAGAGATTTGGATCGGCTGGGGAGAGGCAGGCACAGCCAGGCAGCTGCACGTTCTCCCTCAGCTCCTCCGGCTGTGTCTGTCTTTCTCCAGGTGGGGGGAGCCACAGAAGAAGGCCCCATGGCTGCTGTGCCCGGCCCTCTCCCCCACCTGGCCCCAGCCTCCTGGCACTTGAAAAAAAAAAAAAAAAAAAAGCCCTGGCCGCACTCATCGGCTGCAGCAGTGGGGATCAGGGCCTTTGGGAATTCGTGGCAGACCCTCCCCCTGCACAGCATGGGGTAGCGGAGATCGCCCCCCCCACCCCACCTGGCACCACCTGTTCAACATTTTTTTTTTTTTAAAGTGCCGGGAGGCTGGGGCTGGACAGGACAGCCATGGGGGCTTCTCTTGCAGGTCCCCCCACCGGAAAGAGGCAGGCATGGCCGGAGGAGCTGCAGGAGAACCTGCAGCCACCCGGCTGTGCCTGCTTCTCCCTGGCCAATCTGAATCTCCGAATCAGTGCTGAATCTCCAATTCTGATTCGGCCAAATCGAATGGGGACAGTGATTCGAATCACTGAATCAAATCACTGTCCTCTTAATTGGCCGAATCCAAATCCAAATCAAATACTTCCCTATTCGCACAGGCCTACTTTCTACCCATACCTCCATGTTTTCAGAGCGAAATGATTTATTTTTTCAGTATTTAGAAGGAGCTAACTAACCAGCTAAATAACCTAGCTAATCCCTTCTGAGGAATTAGAGCAAACAAGGTGACCCACTTTCCCCCAAATCCCCCATCTCTTGGCATTGTAATTCCTGCTTCCAGGTAGAGAAAAATCTCTCCTACTCACTGCAATAAGATAGGTGGCGGCTCTAGGGACTTAGTGGCTAGTGTCATCAGAACTGAAATGGCTGAACTAGATAAATTAACTGGATCCTGGAAGAGGCAAGAATTTCTTAGGGTGATATCTTTTATTGGACCAACTATGTAGTTGGAATAAAGTTAGACAACCTTTCAAATACAAGACATTCTTCCTCAGATCTCTGATCCCAGGAAGCCAGGCACTGCATAGTAAGGCTATGTGAAGCTTTAGTCGCTGATTCTCCAAATCCAAATCAAATCAGGAGACCTTTTAATCTGTCTGAATCAAATTGGAACCCTCTGAATCAATTTGGAGAGATTTGAAAAGATTTGATGATTCGGACATAGACACAGCTTTAAATGTTTTTTCTACATACCTCAAGGTACCAGGCGGCACGTGAATGCTGAGATGCTGGGGTGGATGGAGCATCCCACGGGAGCGCTGGGCAGTCCCCAGTGTGCTTGGCAGTCTCACAACCCAAAGGGTGTGATTTTTGTTTTTGTGTGCGCTTTGGCACCACTGAATTATTTTCCCGCCAAATTGTAGCTTTCTTTGCAGTGTGCATTTCTTCTTTGCAGCACAGAAATGCACCCCCGCCATTTGTATTCTAATTCGAGTCCCATTATTGGCTTGCGTTAAATTATTCACACATGGCGGCTAGTGATTGGCTTGCTAGCCGTATAAAAGGCTTGGGTGGTTTCCGCCCAAGTTGGAGACCTCCGAGGAGAACCCCCGCAAGGGAGGACTCCACGAACACCAGGAGGAGGAGACTTCACGCAGTGTGAAGATCTCTAAGCGCTGCTTCTATCGGACCCAGCGCATTTAAAGCAGGCAACAAGGGTCTGATCAGCCTCTAGCCTCTCCCCGTCACCGAGCGCAAACCTCGACGTATCCCTCTCCCTGCGCGCAAAAGAAGGACCCACGGAGCCTAGCAAACTTCGTGTGAGTGAATTGTGAGTGAACAAAAGGGTCCACAGAGCCTCGACAACTCCGTGGGAGTGATCGAGTGTTGTCTGAGTCCTCAAATGAGGATTTAAGCGGAGCTGTGCCTGGGAAACTGTCCAGCCTACACCGCGACCATCTT